CAGACCTCTGAGGCCTGACTGTACCAGGGTACGAACCTCCAGCCGTCCCTCCCATCTATACTCATACATCTCATCATTTAAAATGTGTGTGCTAACAACTTCCAAGCCAATCTAGACACCAAGCCTGTCCTCTGAGGTCCAAACTCACTCATCCTGGTACTCAGCATCCCTGAGTGGTCATCAAATCTCAAAATGACAAAGCGTACTCCATTCCTGCTCATCTCAGACTGACTGTGACTAGACTCCTTCCTCTTCCCTAGAGCAGCACCCCTGCACGGAGTGACTTTCTCTCAGAGCTCCACTAGGCCCTCACTCGACTGTCAACTCCTATTTCCATTTGTTCTTCTCACAAGCCGCCAGTCAAACTAGGTTTTGCAAATGTACACCAGATTACAGCATTCTCCTGATCAAAACCCTGAAGGAGCATCCTGTATCCACATAGTCCAGGCTTCTTCCCATCTTCCCTGGCCCACCAGCTGCTGCCACACTGCCCAGAGTGCCATTCCCTGAACGCCAAGCTCGGCTTCTCTCTCACTTTAATTAGGTTTCTGCACAGGCAACCCTACTTTCTCTCCCTCCTCCACCATCCTTTACCATTTGTTTTTTAAGGCCCTTGTTTGCCTTTTCACTCTGGATGACAAGCCCTAGAGCTGTCCCAGGTATACACTGGAAGCTAAAAAGATGCTGAATAGCTTAGGCACGTGGTGTGTACCTGTAGTTCTATCTGCTTGGGAGGCTAACGCAGGAGGATTGCTTGACCCCAGCAATTCCAGAACAGCCTGGGCAACACAGCAAAACTGTCTTTAAAGGTAAATCAATAAATAAACACACTGAATGAAAGGAAGAGCAGGAGGAAGCTGGGGAAGGAGCAGAAAGTCAAAGTGCGGCACACATTCTTAGAAGCAGCAGTTGGGGCTCCCTCACCCTCAGCACAGAATTATACCTACTTCCTATAGAGTCAAACACATGACTCACACACGCAATGCTGTAAAAGCTGGTTTTGTGTTTTCATCAGACCCGAACAACAGGGCTAGATAGGAAAGCAAAAAGAGAAACACCAGTGGTGTGGGAAGTCCTTCAGTGATTGTCTCGGCCAGTGGCTTAGCAGAGTAGGGCAAGGTGGGAGTTCCAAGCAGATAGATGGGGAGAGAGGGAGAGAGGGGGAGAGGGAGAGAGAGAGAGAGAGAGAGAGAGAGAGAGAGAGAGAGAGAGAGAGGGCAGAGTCAATGAGAAGCCATGTAGCTGCTGGAGGAGAGAGAGGTCGGAACTTAGCCTGATAAGACACAGCCACAGGGTGATACACAGATTAATAGAAATGGGTTAATTTAAGATATAAGAGCTAGCTAGAAAGATGCTTAAGCTATTGGCCAAACAGTATTGCAATAATATAGTTTCTGAGTGATTATTTCAGGTCTGGGCAGCTGGGAACCAATGAACAGTGGCCTCTACCAACACTTCAGAAAGTGCTGAAGCTGAGACAAGAATATGCATTCCTCCAGGCAGTAGTGGAGCAGGCCTTTAATCCCAGCACTGGAGGCAGCGGTGTGCAGGTCTCTAAATTCAAGGCCAGCCTGGTCTACTGAGTAAGAGTTCCAGGACAGTCAGGGCTGCTCAGAGAAACCCTGTCTCAAATAAACAAGCAAAAGATCAGCAGGCCCTATAAAGTAATAGAAACATGGAATGATAGAAACTCAGAAGCCCAGAGAAGGACCTAAGACAAATAAAGCTTTAAGATAAAAACAAAAACCAAGACCATCACTCAAAATCCACCCTTCAGGAAGCTGACCCTGACTGACCTCACAAATCTGATCCCTGGGAGGAGAGAAGTCTCTAGAAATTCTTCAGGTGACTGACCACCCTGAACATCATCCACTGATAAATGAACAGCCACACTCCAGTGTAACCACAGTCACTGAAGGTGCACACACTCCAGTGTAACCACAGTCACTGACGGTGCACACACTCCAGTGTA